TCCACCAGAAACCATGATGAATTTCTTTGTTGTGCCTGCTGCCCTCTCTGCTTTAGACTCGGACAATCATTAAAGCAAGTAATTTGAATTAAGTACAGGAATCATTTCAATGACACTTCTGATTAGTTATGTGCTTAAAGTTAAGCACATACTGAATACCTTCCTGAACCGAAGCTCATGCCCTAATGAAGATGCCTTAATGTAATTTTTTCCCGCCTTCAAGTCAAACACTTGTTGACTTCAGAAACATTCAGCTTGGGGAGGTTTCAAATTGCTACACCACAGCAAACCACCATAATTACAATGCATTGCTTTCTGTCTTCTATTGCAGCCAAAGGCAAAGCAACACGAAAGCTGAAACAAGCCCTCTTTAGTATTTCCCCTATGTCCCCTTACCAGGACTTCAAAAGATCTGCTGTGTTGTCAAAAAACAGTCTCAGTTTAGATGATGGCAGTGCCACTGTACTCTAAAGCATCTACCTGCAACAGAACTGCTTTAAACATGCAATGATTGACTGTGCCACTTCATACTCTCAAACGAACAACTGACTTCACCTGCTTCCATTTCTTCTGTCTCACAAATATTGCATGTATTATGCACTGTAATATGTTCTAAGACTAAAGATTCTCCAAGTATTACTACATTAACTTGATGTTGACTTAAGAGTTCATTAGTATTAAATTCTTCCCTTTAAAAAAAAAACCATAAAAGTACCTAAAGTAAGAAAAATTGAAACATTTACATTTCATTAAAAATTATTTTTCCATAAAACTGTTTTGAACAAAACAAAACAAATTTTGCCTAACATATAGAAAATCTTTGTCCTTTATAAAAAAGTTAATACAGAAAACAAGTGAAAACAGTATCTGCCTTATATATAGGAGCTATTGCGTTTTTCAGAAAGAACATCTTTGAGATAGTTTTGCCCATAGGTTATCTGAATTCTAGAAAAAGGTATCTTTTATCATGTCTATTTTCCCTTTCAGCAGACTCTGGCTTCCCAGTCTCCATAAGGCACTTCTGTCTAGCCCCTCTATTTTTTCCTTTTAATTTTCTTTCACTGTAATTTTCATCTTCTTTCAGTTTTTGCAATCTTGCTATTTGTACTCACTATTCTTTCCTCCCCCATATGCTGGTTTAAATATTCCAGTCCCACTGAGATTTTTATTCCAACCTCCTCCCTCAACTTCTTTCATTTCTTAGACTTCTTTTTTTATCCTGGTTTCCCCCCCCCCCTTAAAATAATGTTCATGGAATTGAGAAACCAAAATGGCTCACATTACCACTGAGGCATCTCTAAATGGCAAATAAATAAGCCCTCTGAATAGTGACACTCATTCCAACAAGATGCTAAAACATTATAACAAACAGCAAGATGAACACGTGCATGCTTTTCATGCTGCCATGAAGTGGACTGCCCTTCTTCCTCACCACAAGTCAGAAAGACAGACCAGAAATGTTGAGATGTCCAAGATTTCCAGTCTGTGAAACCCTTGGAAAGAAAAAATTAATTTATATCCTTGAAACACATTCTGGGGAGGAGAAGAGAAATCAAAACCTCTTTTGGGGGTCCAAGTTGACTACCACTTTTCATCAAAGGGTTACCTAAAGGCCAAGCAAAGGAACACCAAGGAAAGGTAGGGCTTCAAAGCAAAATGAACACAATGATGAGACACAAACATTAACCTCTTGATGCTTTTTAGTGAAGGGAATGGTATGCAACATGGAAATCAAGAGAGCCCAGACTGATGTGGCAAGGGAGAAGGGGACAAAACCACCAAGTATGAAATGACAGCAACCTTAAAAGACCTGCAAAGGGGAACAAGAGTGCTGGTGCACTCAGTCCAGTCAGCATAAAACATGGCAATTCTAGGCAAAACTATAGAGAGGTCATTTAATATCAAACCTGAGCATGCTCCTACTTTGCCCAGCGTATCTGGCTGGCCTTCCCCTACAGCCACATGAGAGAAGCAAGCAACCACAGGTCTCATTTTCCTCTGGACTGCCCTCCCTTCCAGAGCAGGTGGTTCTGAGGGCCCTGGGTAAAATATTGTCTCAGCATAGGTCTAGTTTTCACGTTTTCTTTCACAGTAGAGATCTGCTTCCACAGTTCATCTTCTGACTGGACACTGAGAAATACTCTGCCTGGAAGAGACTTATCCATAACTAACAAGAACAAAAGCTAAACAATTATTTTCCTAATGCTCTTCTATCCCCTTTCTAGTCTTAATCATTGTGCAATTCTAATGCCAGTTAAGCAACACATCAGGCTGCACAGTCTAGTTCCAGCATTCATGTCTCAGCATTGGTCTCATTTTGCAAAACATCCCCTCCTCAACCTACTAGAATTGGTTCATAGCCATGGTTTAGAAGTACGTATGCAGCCTGTAAACAAGGTGAAAGTGGTACTGACTGGTTTCTAAATAGCAGGAAATAAATGTCCATATTAACACAGCTTTTAAAAAAAAAAACAGCTTATGCACTAAGCATGATACTCTTATTTCAGGGCAAGTCCCCATATTCAGGTTTCTACATATAAATTGCATAGAAGTTCTCTAACCAGGACTCAGCAGAGTGATGATAGTGGAATGACTGAACCAAGATTTCAAAGCTAGTAACCCAATTAATTATGTCTCCTCCTAAAAATGAATCGTGGCTCTCGTTCAGTAAAGCTATCCACACAAGGCAGAATGAATATTGATGGAATTTTAAAATATTTGAGGAATCATAACAATTTTATACCATTTGCCTACCAAGTTACTGTATTTAAACCAGAAATCTTGATGGCTATTGCTTCTACAGTTCAGAAGTTTGTTAGTCATTTCATTTGCTACTGGGGAAAAGAAACGTCTCTCTGCAGTCTGCCAGAGCTATAAATTACATATGCATGATGTGTGAAGTATCGCTTCAAGTTTCTTTATGCCAGTGTACCTCCATCTTGACTCCACCACTCTTCTACAATTCCAAACTTTGCTTCTATTAGTGGCTAAAAATTATCAGAGGCAGAGTAGTGGCTGACTGAAATATTTGAAAGTACTTTAACCCACAGCTGGTGACTTTTCCTAGGACTTCACCAGGGCTATAAATAAAATTGCCTAACACAAGACTCTTAGAAAGTCTGAAATGCATAGAAATTCAAAACAACAATATAAAATGAACATTAGATTGACAGTAAGCCTGCTTGCCATTAAAAGTAGGTCCTTGGTGTGCTCTAAATGAAGACAGCTCAGTTGTAAAAGCAACATATTCAATTCTACTATAAAATTTTTGTAATGCCTTAACACACACCTCCCCGTTGCCTTTGCTATAAATACTTAGAGGTCACACTTGGGGCTTCCTTCCATCTTGGAAGCAGCTCTAGCGTGGGAGAGGTTGCTGCAGGCAGACCACTGATGGCAAGTTCACCGTTAGAAATGACAGTGAAATGACAGAAGCCCCTTAAAAAAATTATAGCCTTCTAGTTCTAAAGAAGGCATAAAAACAAGGAATTCGGGAAAATGAAGCAGTATCATTCTGATGTACTTTCCTCTCTTCTCTACATTTTCAGAGGAGCAAGAAAGGCTACTACAACTAACATTTCAAATGTGAAATTGATGTCTAGTTTTTAAAGGCATGTGACTGAGCTGGCATAAGAATAAGATGGTGCTAATCTGTGGTGATATGAATAAGCATAACTCAACCTCAACCTCCATATGTTATTAAAACACCCTGGCTCTCCTCACTCTCTCTTCCATTTTCTCAAACTTGTGTGGTCACCACAAGAGCTTCAAAATCACAAGCTTACTGCAGGGTTTACCTTCATTTATAAGGTCCAAAATTAACAGCATGGCTCACAACTCTTGGAATATTTATGGCTTAGAACTTGAGCCACATCTGCAGAACAGTATTTTTCCAACAGAACAATATTGTATCTGCTCAATGTGTGAGTGAGGGCAGCATTACACCCTCAGTCAACTATGCCAACAAAACCCACCATGTGGCTACAGCTTTGCCAAGAGAAGCTTTGCCCAGCCTGTATCATTCAGGGAGGTAGCGCAATTACATTGTCAGAAAAACTTGAGACAGATATTATTTACAGTTGATAAGACTTGACTTAGATAGCCAATTTCAACACTGTTAACCTTTAAAAGGAGTACCTATTTCAATGCTTGGAGTGCTTAAGAAAGGAGGAAAAAAGCACATCCTGGAATTTTTCCAAAGCACTTTTTTTTAAAATAAGCCTGAGGGAGATGCTGCCCATCCTCCCAGTACAAGCAAAGTACCTCAAACATCTAGAAGTCAGCTTAGACACGAAGGGCTCTCAAAGGAGTACCCAAACAAAGAGAACAGTAAAGGACTACTTTTTTCTTTTTTTTCTTTTTTTTTTCTTAATTTCAGATCCCAGATTACATGCAGTGATATTCTGGACAGTACCTTGTATGTGTAAGGCACCTTAGTAACTGGCAGCTGCCAAAGCAGCAGCAACAACGTCTATTTTCAGTATTACCTCAAATACAAAGGCTTAAAATAACATTTCCTTTGTTTTCAGATGAATGTGTGTTAATACCTGGCGCTCTCATAATTCTTTTTACCCATAGAGTATAGTACAGTCTTTTTACTTTGTGAAGTCTGAGAAAAATGAAGACACAGAACAATTAATTCAAACCCTGGTCAAAGTACTTAACGGAAGAGCTAAAAGCTGAGACTGGGCTTTCTCTTTTCCAGTCTTGTATCACTTTCGCTCAGAAAAACACATATGCAAATATCATAATGAAAAATCTATTTCTGTACTACACACACAGAAGCACCACTATTTCCAGGAAATATGCGTTCTGGAATGTCAGTTTTCCTATGAACAGGAATACTGATTGAGCATAAATATCCAAAAGCATACAGTGTATACAGAATATTCTTTAGAATTAAGCTATTTGTAACATCATACTGAACTCCACACCACCCATTAAGCCTAGCAGATCTTTTTAGCCAACGCTCAGAAAGGCAGAGGTGTATAAAAGCTTACCTTCTCATGATTTTCTATCAGGATTTCAACGACGATATTCTGAAACTTCAGGTCCATGATGGCTGCTACAGTTTCTTCCTGTGGCCTCATTAAGGTTGGTCCAAATACTACCCCTAGATTTGCCACAGTCATTAGATTCCTCTTGGCATGCTTTGAAACACTTTTTGAAAAGAATTGAAGGAAAAAACAGGAAATAGGTTATGAAAAATTTCCATCACTGTTGGAAACAGCAGCCTACAAATGAAAACATTACATTTCCTTAATCTATGTTTTAGAAGTTTGTTTTGTGCAAAGTTTCTTCAAATAAAGTCTTACTGAATTCTGGAAAACAGAAAAGCCATTCTTCCATTGGTGATTTAAAAACAAAAGCAGTCTCTTACTGAACTTAAATATATAAAATGCACTTAGCGTTGGACCAGGGCAAGTGTGAAACCAACTTAAATTTGCTAACAGATCTCCACTATTCACTTTGCCAGAATTTGCGAAAGGAAAGTATAATGTTCCCTTTCTCACTTCAATCAAACCCTCCACTGCTGGCAGGACTGCTAAAGTAAATACTTATATGGCTTCATTAACGGATTAGATTTCTGCCTTTCCCGCCAAAATATACACAGCATGAGTCAAACGTCTTGTCTGCTTTTGCACGTTTGGTTCTTGGTATTGTGCATGACAGCATCAAGATGGGCTTCAGCTCCAGCCACACTTAACTAAGGCCCTTTGTAGTTAAGTGAAGGTAAGAACAAGAGTTCTCACAAGGTAGGAAAGCAGGTCATAACACTTACTTCGCTAAATGTTTCACCAAAATTTCCAGCATCTCTTTGTTCTTTTCTGGGAGTTTATGGACCAAGAAGTGAACAGCATTAACTCGAGATTCAGGACTCCCACTTTCTATGGGACACAGAAATAAATAACTATCTCAAAAAATAAAAATAAAATTAAATCCACAGAAACACAAAGCTTCTGCCACCCCTGCACAGAAACATACTGCACACACTTTGCTTCACCATTTATGTATCTCCAAACATAGCAATATCGAACATATGCGCTCTGTTTTCACAAGTAGTCTTGTTCTAGAATTATCAACTTATTTGCCTATTTTCTCAACTCATCTTTCAATCCACCTGCAAAAGGATGCCTTTGTTCATCTATTTTTAAAAAGCAACAGATGTAGTTATTGTTTTGCTGCATTGGACTCATCTGCTTACGAATATACCGCAAGGTGAGAAGCAATGTTACTAGGTGCCACAGAGTGGAATTGTACTACTTTACTTTTTAGCATCATTAGCTGATTGTCCTCATCATTAGAATTCAGTTTTGTTGGTACTATGCAGCTAATGATACTGCATTTATGCTACCTTGCATTGGAAACTGCGTAAAAACACATGCAGAAGATTCATATGCTCAGAAAGAGAAAATCTAAACACCTTTGAAGGAACAAAAGAATAATCATGTAACAAAATCTACTGAGCGTGATTACTACAATAAAGGGCCCTGAATAACAACAGCATCCCTCTCTAGTACAGTACAGAAATAAAATAAAAATAAGTAAGGAGCTTTTCATTTTTGTGCATTGCATGTTGAACTGTTTGGCCCCTGCAGGTTTCACTAGTACACGGATGAAAACAAGAATCTGTAAAAGATTAAAATGATGACCCCTCTTCCTATTTCTCAAAGTTTTATTAAATCACAAAATTATCTCTCAGTAGTGGTTACAATGACAGGAGTGGAAGTATTTCTCTTGTATATAAAAATACTTAGTACAAGGTACATAAAGAGAAAAACTTAAAACCCACTCTGAATGCAAGAAGTTTTGACACCAGGACCACTCCTCATCAGGTCTCGTTTTACTCTAAGGCAACTTTGATTGTTAAGTGTATAAAATACCACCATATTTCTTCAGTGCATATTGCTACAGATTTTAGGGTTTTTTTTATTCTTTTGCAGTGAACACCCCTGCACAGATTGCAAGAAAAAAGGCTACCAAAATGCAAAACGTTTAGCTCCTAGTCAGCTAATCAAAATTCAGACAGCCAGAAAAACATAAGCCTTCTTTAAAGCAAGACTATTTTACATATATGTGAAATCACAAATGCTAATTAAAGAATGGCTAAGCAACTTAATAACAAGATACAGTCAAGACTTATATAGTTTCAATCTACACTGATATGTATAAAGAAAAGAAAATTGAAAGGAGAACCTTTCAATTTTGGCTGCCCCTGCCCGCCCCCCAATAGTTGCAGAGAAAAGGATATTTCTTGCTATTCCTGGTGCTGCTGGTTTTTTACAGCCAACGTAGGAAACAACAGTGACTACCTATTTTTAAGTATACCGTAACTCAGATTTGCAATGTTGATGACATTTCTCTCCCCAAGAGATAGAATCAAACCCTCTACAAAATTGTTTACTACTTATGAACACTGTACATTAAAACACTGTAATCTCAACTGAATCCCTTTATTGAGAGAGACTATAAAATAGAGAAAGGAAAATAAAGAAACTCCTGGCAAAACTTCATAGGTCAAGAAATTATTTTAACACTTTCCAATACAAGTGGGCAGATTCACCATCTAGGTAAGTATGTTGAGTTTTGTTTAAGAGTTTGGCCTCTAAGATGTGCTTTAGCAATGAATTTCATGGGCCAATTCTCATTTTGAATTAAGGATCACAAGTGAACACATACTGCAGTCCTGGAAGGTCATTACAGCAATATGAAGAAGATAAAGCAATTGTCTCAAAGTTTATTTTAATTTTACTTGCCACAGTTTGCCAGAAGTGCTACAGGCTGGGAAGAAAATCAGCTAAATATCTGTTTGATACTTTGCCAAAAATTTTCTTACACAGTTTCCCTCCATCCTCTTCCAAAAAAATTCCATGTACATTAGATACCATACAGCTGAACTACAAATGCTGTTGTGTCTTCTCCAGGTCTGTATTTGAACTGCCATAGTGTAATCTGGCCTGCTCCTTCCTTTCTTCTACTAATATATGAGGAACATTCAAGTCAGCCTAGATACAGAGCTAACAAGGCACTGAAAACAAGGGTCAAGCAGCTCTGCTTTAAGGATTCAAATGAGCCCAAATTAGTGGGCTTCATATCCTTTATGATGGAAGAAAAAAAAAAAATCACATTCTAAGTAGATGTTTATCGTTATATAATTAAGATAATAAAAATGAATGTTTACAATCTCTATCCAAAAGCTTTTCCATAAAAGTAAAAATTGCGCTATGCTACGTCTGTCACAAGCTTGTCTGTCAATTGATACATCATACGTAACAAACACTAGAACCGAACGCTGGTTAAAATCTACATATTTTTAAACATTTATTATTTCTTATTCCTATATTTTTACTGGGTTGAAGAATTTTTCTGAAACTGCATTTGCATCCTGCTCCTAAGGCCACAACAGTACTATAAGAAAAGATTTCTATTTTAACCACAGCCATATATTTACTGGCAGGAACGATGAATTCTCCATGCAGCTCATATGTCATCAATGGCTCTGGAAGGCTTCTGTAAAACAAGGATGACATAATAAATTTAGCTATATTCTTTTCTACCTGTATTTACTCTAAGTATGAGACGTTTTTAACATTCAGTATTATAAGCGTCACATTGGAGGCAACCATTGTTACAATGGCCCTTGAATTCAGGGATCTCCAGCGGGAGTGAAAAACTTGGTATTATCAGGAAAATAAGACTAAATACATCCATTCACCTTCCACGAGCTGAAGTGATTTTGTTCTTTCCTAATTTTTTTTTTTTAATTCTTTCCTACATTCCTACGTAAGAGACACACTTTTATTGGTAACAGTTCTTCAGCATTCTTCGGCAATGGTTGCAGTAACACTTTATTTAACAAAAACAGATTAAAAATACTATACTTGTCTTACGCTATGAGAGATACACAATAAGTTCTACGTTCTATGTTCTTAGGCAATTTAGTAAAGTATCTTGATCAGGAATTGGCCAGGCCATTTGAACAGAGAACACATCTAACATTCTTACTTTCAACACTCAAAATATTATTACTATTGTACCTAGAACATCACAGCAAGGGCCAGAAGGAAAAGAGGAAAATATTTAAAAATTCATAACCTTTTATCTTTTCATTCTACCACATTAAAACAGAAAAAGGCAGAAAACTCTTTTAACAATCTTAGCCGATTTTCAGTAATGACTCTCAGCAAGTTTACTAACAATTCAGGTTTCTGAACCATCAGTGAAATGCTTATGTCTCTAACAGAAAAATGCTTTGGGGCTTGTCTCATATGAACATGACTATTAGTGTTGCTAAATTATTTTGCTTCCCACAAGACAAAAAAGAAACATGGTATTTGCAGAAAGTGAACCTCTATTCCAAAATACAGGAAAAGTAAGTAACGTAGCTTAACACACTGCACAGGAGAAACAGAATACAGAATTCATAGTCTAATTAATGAATAAATAAACGAGAGAGAGACAGGCTTACCGCAGATATTGCTTCATAGCACTAGTAATTGTCTTCACTTCCCAATCTACAGAGTTTTCCAGGTCAACTTCATTGCAGGTTTTTGCATCTAGAAAATAATCAGAAAGAGAAGAGGTACAGGAAAAAAGGGAATACTAAATCAGTATACCCTACATGAACATTAAATTTGACCATTATGTATTTGCTCACATAATCGTAGAAGTACGTAAGAAGTATGTCCTTCTTAGTATTAACTAATAATAAGACGACTTAATATCCAAACCTCTTTATAAATTCCATTTCCATATTTTGTTTTTAAAAGTATTTACTGCTGATTTTTTCTTTAAGGAAGGATTAAAAATCACTTTCATGTAAAAAAGATCTCTATAGCAATTGATGTTTACACACCTTTAACTAAACAGAAAGATGTACACAAACACAGAAAGATGTACAAAAGCAGTTTAGAAAAAAGACCCACTAAGCATAATACATCTTTTCCACTTTCATTATTTAAAATGCAAGCACACTTTTTTGAATCACTTGTAAACTGTTATTTTGGACTCCTAATGAAAATAGCCAAAGTTCAAGTATGACCCTCCTTACTGTGTGAAAACCTTTAAGAGGCACTTCAAAAGTAGAAAAAGGACTCTTCTCTATCAGTAAGTTTCTTCTACAAGATGGCCTGAATGTTTCCCTTACTTGACCAGTTTTAGCCAAAGGGGAAAAAGCTTGCTTGACCATTTGGCAGGCTCACAGAACTCCTCCCATCTTTTACCAGGTTAGTTGGCGGAGTCTTATAACACGACAGATCATATTGAACTGTCATTATGTCTGAATGACCCGTCAGGTGAAAGATTTTTTGACAGAACATAGAAAACAACACAGGGCACTGGAATGTTTTGCCATCAAAAAAACCCTTTTGGCCTCAAACAGGAAGTAATAGCTAGTTGACACAAGAACATCACATGTATATGGCAAAACTAGTCCAAGGCATTTGGTAACTTCTAGTGCCTGAGCTTCTGTTACTATTACTGCTACAGGTTTTAACCAGTCACTAGAGTAAACCACAGCAGTAGCTGACACAGATTACATGTTGACCAGTTCATACAATTCAGAAATCATTTGTTACTTTGCTTGTCAGACAAACGACAGACACATTTAAAAAATCAAATCAGGATCCCTGATTAAAGGTGCCGTCCTTTTACTGCGACTAAATAATTCTGTTCTAAAGGCTGTGCCAAGCAATTATTTCTGTAACTGAATATTCTCCTTCATTATATCAATTATTTAAATCTCATTTTAAAATACAAGTCAGATAACATTTTCTACCAAATTGTCACTAGCCAACCACCACCCAAAATATTCAAGATTGTCTCAGGAAAAAGTTTCTTTTTTCCTCTCTTTAACACGCTGTGTTCAAATTCTCTTTTTTGAGAAGAAAAATACAAGCCAGTATGCTATTTGCCTTATTTCCCCGCCCCCACCCCCGCCCTGTATCAGCAATAGTGTGGCCAGCAGGAGTAGGGAAGCGATCATTCCCCTGTACTCGGCACTGGTGAGGCCGCACCTCGAATACTGTGTTCAGTTTTGGGCTCCCCACTACAAGAAGGACGTTGAGGTGCTGGAGCGTGTCCAGAGAAGGGCAACGAAGCTGGTGAGGGGTCTGGAGCACAAGTCTTATGAGGAGCGGCTGAGGGAACTGGGGTTGTTCAGTCTGGAGAAGAGGAGGCTGAGGGGAGACCTTCTCGCTCTCTACAACTGCCTGAAAGGGGGTTGTGGCGATGAGGGTGTTGGTCTCTTCTCCCAAGTAACCAGTGATAGGACAAGAGGAAATGGCCTCAAGTTGTGCCAGGAGAGGTTTAGATTGGATATTAGGAAAAATTTCATTACTAAAAGAGTGGTCAAGCATTGGAACAGGCTGCCCAGGGAAGTGGTTGAGTCACCATCCCTGGAAACGTTTGGAACACGTGTGGAACATGGTGCTTAGGGACATGGTTTAGTGGTGGACTTGGCAGTGCTAGGTTAACAGTTGGGACTTGATGATCTTAAAGGTCTTTTCCAACCTAAGTGATTCTACAAATCTATGAAAACCTTCCTACAGAATTAAATAAAAACGGTCATCACATTAGAAACTAGTGGAATCCATGGGAATTTTGTTACTAAACCACTATGTAATATCCAGTTTTTAAATAACTGCTTCATAATCATCAACCTCCTTTACAGTCAAAGGATGCACTCAGCTGTGTGAATTTTAAGAGCATCTGTATTTTAAGACCAAGCCTCTTAAAATAAAAAATAGAAGGTATTGCTGAAGAATTCCATTATCTCTTGGGAGGAAAAAAAACTCAACAAAATTTGGCCCTGCTACCAAGCCCAAACATTCCCTACTTTGACTGTAAAAGCCATCAAGACTTAAAGGCATTTTTTTTCCACTTTTGGTTTAACAGTTGCCCTCTGTGCCCCACCACCCCACATATTTGACTGTTCCCACTCCATTTTTCCCTCTACCTCGAACACCCCAGGCCATTATATGAACCGGAACTTCAATCAGGATTTCAAAAATGTCTCCACTAGTTGTCATGCTTTTTGTTCACATAGCAGCCACTGTGCACTGAATGGCAACTTTACACATACAAAAATAACTGTGCACATTTATGGAACAGCTTTTGACAGATCAGCTCTAAATTTTATGCAAGTCTTTCTGACAATAAGGTAGCTAGAGTTTATAAAAACAGTCCAGTTCACTAAACCGGGTAAGGAGGAGACTCTTTCTGCTTTCATATGCAATATGCCCACTGTAGGGGTGTATGCATGCTGTCATTTACTGTACATAAAATAATAAGGAATTCAGTGTAATTTTTTTGAAAGCTGCTGGTTTTGAAAAGGCAAAGGTACCTGAAAGTTTTCTTCTACAACATGTAACGTCTGGCATTTTTCATGCCAGGCAGTATCAGAAATCAAAACTGAACTCATCAGTAGAAACTCCAAGTCCTTAGCAGTCACTTCACCACGAGCAAGGGTCTGTATAAAAGCTGACCTTTGTAGTAGTTTGTATGAAATCGATGTAAGCAGCTTGTATGAAATGAGCCACATCAGATCTATAAAGTAGACCACAGATGAAACAGGAATCGGTCCCTGACGCATTTCAAGAACTGAGCCTCCTGATGGCTGACGATGCACTCTGAATTGCTTATAACAAATCCCCATAGCATTGGAAGTCCTAACTCTGTATCCGTGTTTACAGTGAGGTATCAGATTAACTGAACATTTTTCCTTGAAATGTAATGTGTGTTTTCCTTATCAAATGCCTCACTTAAATTTAGATAAGATTATTGTTGCAAAACAGATCACCATAGCACAATGCTAGTTACAAGTAACTTCAAGGACTAAGTTAATTGCAAAATTAACTCTTTTTTTATTATTATTATATATTTATTTGCTGAGCCTCATTTTAGAGAGGACTTCATTTCACTGGTTTTTTATATTAAAGGTGAAAATTTGTCCATTTGTAGCATTAGAAAAGCATATGTTGGTCTTCTCATACTCTCTTGACTCTCAATATAGTTTCTCAAGTTTTATAGAAAATATTCTGAAAAAAAGACGAAACTACCTGCTGTTATGTCCCTGGTAACCATTTGGAAGACTTTTTTTTGCACTTTGGGCCTTTCAGACTGTGAACTTCATGGTCAATGACAGGTAGCCTAAAATACTTTGAAAACTTATCAAACATTTTAAAATACAGAAGGTTAATATGAGGTTTTTATGATTCTGAAACGATCTTTCATATAAAAGGGTATCTAAGAGTATACACAGAGACAAAGGATTAAAGATTAATCAGTCATTTTAAATTCTCTGTACCACCGTATATCAAAAAGAAGCCCTCTTTATTCTTCTCCGAGGACAGCCAGATAAAGAGCACAGATAGGATCGCTTTCAACAAATCATCAGAAAAAGAGCACCTGCTTGCACCCTAACTTTTTTCTGTTCAGTATTTTGCCTCGTCTTAATACCACTGTATTCCTCCTACTTCAAATAAATATATGAATCTTGGGAATGACAAAAAATGTTTCTAATTTTAAAAAATAACTAAAAGCAGATGCTGGAATCACCAGTAAACTCTTCCAGCTGCTACTGAACCACTGGCAACCTGAGTCTATTTAATTTGGATACCATTAATGGCAAAGAAGAAAATCTGCCTGCCAGACCTGTACGCCCAAGCTAAGCCAGTAAGTACAAAACTGAAAAACATCTTATGATACCAAATGCATTTAATCAAGACTCTCAGTGATAACACTTCATTCTTCCTATGGTCAATGGCTAAAGATGGTTATTGTTTAGTGAGGCTAACTCCAACACAGATAAACAACCATGAGAATCTGTTATAGATCAGTTATTTTTATTAATCCCAGTTCGTATTTCCAGAAAGAGTCTTTTGCTACAATACTTTAAAGATACAGACAGGTTTATGTGCACTAATGGAGAAGTTCAGGGGGCTGTTAATATTGATTAAAGTAAGATATCGTGAATTAATATTTAGCAAGGTCATTATGACAGATTGATATGACATGCAGGTCCTCAAGCCTGATGTCTTATAATTTCTGAAGAGACAGCCTGTTTGAAAAAATAAAGGAAGGAAAAGAAAAAGTCTTACAGGTGGCACTGAACTGACAGCAGCATATAATATAAAAGCGCTTTGTCATTCACATAATGTCTGGGGTAATGAAATGAATTCACTTTCTGGCTTCCTCCAGTTTGCAGTGCCAAAGAACACTGTGTTATCAGCACAGATGGAGCATGCATGGTTCTGGAGAAGAGCCTGGTGCAAACTGCAAACAAGCTTCTTTGCATACCAATGAATCCCTGAGAATCAGACCTTTGCTGTCAAGTGACAGGTTTGGAAGCTCTATAAAAATGAACTAATCCCAGTGGTCTTGTCTGACTGCATGTACTGTCAGTGCTCAGGACAAGAAATTGGGAAACACAGCACATCTTGCAATCATGGCTACTACTTTGGTGAGAGCTATCGGGCAGATGAGGGATTTCATCCAGGTGCCAATACTTTCCCCCCCAGCCCTGCTAGGGATAGTGGAGTGGCAAGAGAACTACAGTGACTGGGATTAAAGATGCATCAAAACCTCCACACAGAAAATGGGGGGAAAAAAAAAGTTTCTGAGAATAATTTTATGAATCAAGAAATCTTAAAAGCTACACATGGCTAACTAGGTATAAGAGAGTCTAAGACGTTACCCACATGTAAGAGTTATACTACTGAGTTTATAAAAAACAAATCCTTTCTCCATCTGTCTCCCGCCTTGGCACATAGCTATTACTAATACGTATATCATATTCCTCCTCTTAAACCAAAGAGCTCTTTGCCAGTCAGCTTAAACTAAAGGTCTTCTTTTGCACAGTGATTAACTAAACACATGCAAGGGTGTGCACACCTGTACATCTTAGACAAGGGACAAGAAAGGTGGAAGCTTCAAACAATGAAGCAATAAGTTTCAAACTTTCTTGAATTTGGTATTTTGAATTTTCTGATCAGACTCTTCAACTTAGGCTGCTTTAATCCCACTTGCACCAACCTTGCACAAAACCCATGATGTGGTCCTACGTGTCCCATACCAGTTCTCTTAGTTTATTCCTACCACCTAATCTTGGTCTTGCTAAACCAGGGGAACTTACAATGATATGGGGATTATTTGCATGGACTAAAGCAAACCAGATTTGGCCCTTATAAAGAACAACTACAGGCAGATGCTTTTAAAACTAAATATTGACAGTAAAACAACAAGAAATAAAATATTGAAAGTATGATTGTAAAATAGAGGCATACCCATCAACAAACTCAGAAGTCTCTGGACCTTTGAACTCACCCCCACAACTCTGTACAATCCTTGGTCATTTATACCTATTATGCAAAAGGAGAAAAAAAAAAAAAAAAAAAGGCAGAAGATCAACCACAGTGAAATTTAGCATTGAAACTTTCCCCAGGCCACAAATTCTCCTCAGAGACATACAGACTACATAGTATTAACACAGTCATAAGAACAATGTTATAAATAAAGTATTGCAAGAATCCTTTTGTTCTTCTGTGTTTTCAGGATAAGTTCACATTATGTTTTGGTAAAGGTTTCAGGTCCCTCAATTCCACCTCAGAAACTGGGAGGAGAAGCAAACTGGGACAACCCTTTCTTGGGGGGG